CATTCCCAGTAGCTTGCTGTTGGGGAGGAAAAGTGGGGTCTTAGCCCTGCAACATCCCTTTGGGCAGTGCCACTGCCATGGGGTGAGACTGGTGACAGAACCTCTGGTGCCACCAAAAGAAAGGGCTGCAGGAGTGAGATTTTAATAGGTAAGACAAACAAGGGCCATGTAGCCTGCAGAGCAGAGAGCCCAAACAAACATGGGTGTAGGGTTCGTGTCTCCGAAGAGCTTGGTCAGCTATGGAAAGTCCCCAAAGGTTAAAAAAGGGAGAATTTGCACCACTCCACCCAGGAGCACTGAAACAAATGAAGTGATATGTACATTGAGAGTGTAACGGGCTTAATTCCAGATCCAGGGCACGCGATCCAGGCAGGAACTGCTCCTGCACTGGAAATGAGGGCAGGAGCTGAGCCCAGGCCAGCACCAGGCAGCCTGGAGCCTGCTGCTCCCCCAGCCTGTGGGGGAGCCCTGCCCTCCCCACGGCTGCCAGCCCACCCAGGGGGGCTGCAGGAAAAGAGGAGTATTTGTGGCTGAGAGTTGATGTGACTTTGGGCCCAGGCGAGGAGCTGCCACGTGGCCCTCCCTGCTGTGCGCTGGGACCTTACCCTTTCCCTGCTCAAAAGCAGCTGGGTTTAGTGACTCTCCCAAAGTGCTCAACAGCTCTGATCCTGGCTGCAGAAAGAGCTGGGGAGAAAGAGCAGACCTTTCACTTTTGCAGGTCCTTCCCTGGCCTGAGCCTCTTTCTCTCCATTTGCATCACACGCGCAGTGAGCTGGGACTGATCCTGGGTTTTCCCCTCCCTGAGCAGGACTGGGCACAGGGAGGGATGGAGGGAGCCCTGTTGGGTGCAATGGACCACCCTGCACAGTGTTAGTAAGAGGGCTGGGGGCTGTTTCCCACTGCTGCTCCATCCTTCCCAGCTCCAGGCAGGAGGTGAGCCTGCCCTCTGCTCCCCACACAGATGAGGACCTCACCCCAACATGAGCAATCCCCCAAATCTGTGAACTCCATGCTCACATTTTGGGGCATCCAGGCAAAATCCTAATTGCAAATTGCAGCTGGTGGGGCCCCAGCAGCATCTGTTCTCCCTTGAATTGCCCACGGCTGGTTCCCTTCATGCCATGTGCCTGGGCTCCTTCCAGCCCTTGTTAAAGCAGATGGGAAAGGAGTCCTGTCCCTGCTGGCATGGGACAGGTTGGGCCATTTGTTCCCCTGCTGGTGAGGGAACCTTGCCTCTCGATTGCTGAGTGCCTGGGGTAATCCTGCATCCTTGTTAGGTTATTTATGACAATCACAAACCTTTCTTACAGGTGTCTGGAACTGCTCAGTGTCCATACCAGCAAAACCCTCCCTGACTGACACCTCCAGAGCCTGATCCAGACCCCTCCATCAGCAGGTCAGACCCACTAAGGGCATCATGCAATTCAAAATCTGACTTTAAACCTTTCTGCTCTTATCTCTGCAGGGCTTTTGTCTGAGGGTGGGAGGAGGAAAACTTCATTACTCTGTGCTGGGGTCATTTATTAACATGCTGGTTCCTAATGATGCCCTTATCTCCTCCTGCCAGTCCTGGACTAGATCAGGCACCTCCAGGGGGAGGAAGGGGGGTGGTTCTCCTGCCCTACTTGCTCTCTTCTCATTAGCTATTAATTTTGCTTAATTGTTGCTGCAGATTTGCCAGGCATGTCTGGCCTGGGGGATGCCCATGGGGAGATGGGGGTGCAGAGGAGCAGGGCAGTGCTCTGCCAGGCATGAAGCTGTGCCGAGGCACGGGATGCTGTGGTGGTGGTGGCTCACAGTGATGGGAAGAGTGAGCAATGCTGATTGCCTTGCCTGCTGCTGCCCGGCCAGGAGTGGGGATTTGATAGGAATCCCCAGGCAGGCTGGGGTCAGTATTTGAGGTCACAGGTACCAAATTTCAGCGGGAGAACACAGAGTACCAACTCTACCCACAAGCCCTGCAGCTAAAAAGTGGCATCTCTCCTACTTGCACCACCCCTAGGAGTCCAAAACCCTTGCAGAAGCTGAGGGGGTGTCACAGCCCCCCAGGCCCCACGCCCAGCTCTGACCTGCCGTGGTGGTGTCCACATCCCTGGCCGCCATCTCCTCCACCTCCGCTCTCTTGCGCAGCTCCAGCCGCCGCGAGAAGCCCTCCCTGGGCTTCCAGAGGTCCTGGATGAGCAGCGGCTTCTCGTGGTCACCCAGGACCCTCAGCCCCTCCGTCTGCCACCGCTTCTCAGGCCCCTCAAACCTGCCGATGACATCGCAGAGGGCGTATTGCCCCGCGCTGCGCTGGCTCAGCCCGTAGCGCTCCAGGGCCTCCTTCACCAGCTCCCGCGCGCCCGAGCTGCCCGTGGCCAGCACGCTCTTGTAGTTGGTGCCTGCACAGATGTTGCCCCCGAAGATCTTGAGGACACCAGGAGCTGAGAGTTGGGTGGAGAGCTCGGCTGGGTCGTCTTCGCTGGCTGCTGGGGAAGCGGATGCTGAGCTCCGGTCCTTGTAGCTCAGTGTCCGGTACAAGACCTGGGAGAAAATCCGGCTCTGGCGCTTCAGCCGGTTCTTGGATGGTGGAGCCATGGTGGGGGAGGACCCATAAAACATCGTGTGTGAGGTCGTCATGGGGCACGGCTGGGCAAGGAGGAGCAAAAAGGGAAAGATCAGCAGTTTGAAGACCAGGTGTGCAGCAAGGAAGAGCAAGCAGGAGCTGGTGGGTGGATACGGAGCGGCCACTGTCACCTCCAAGGTGGAAAGGGACAGCAGCAAGAGGCAGCCATTTCACTTGTGCAACCCAAAACACCAAGAACCAAGATCAGCCAGGCTCCTTGGCAACAGCATGGTTACCCCAGGATGGATTCGTCCCTGAAAACATAGCCTGGAGCGATCCCAAATTTCTCCATCGTGTGTATGAAGAGGTCTCTCTCTTGCCTGAGCAAAATGCAGTGGGAGAAGGGCAGAGCTCAGCAGAATTTGGCAGGGCCCATCCCATTCAGGAGCCAAGGCATCAGGAGCTACTTTCACTAATGAGTTTAAGGAGCAATCCCACTTTTTTAGAGGTGAAACAGAAAGCTCAAGTGCAAATTCAGTCACTCTGAGGTCACCTCTAAATGCTTTTGCTCACCGAGAGGCACGGGGTGAAAATGGGCTTTAATTAGCCTTTCTAAAAATGTCCTGACTCTGGCAAATCTCCTGGCTGCTGCTAGTTTGTGGAGGATGTTGAAGCACGTGGTGGCATCACTGACAACACTGCCCTTGTCACACCAGCCAGGGCAGAGCTGCTTGGGGTGGGCAGCAACTGGAGGAGATGTGGCCATGGCCTGTCACAGCTCCAGAGCACCTCGGTCCCCAGGAATGGGCTGGAAACCATGATGCTCTTCTGGCTTTAGGCTGACAGAGGTCCTGCCCAATGTCACTGCTGACATCTGAGGCCAGCTTAGAAACTACATCTGGATGCACAAACACTCAGTGCTGATAACGCCACTGGTGGCACCTCGAGCTGCTGCTGGGAAAGGTCCAGGAAGAGGATCTGAGCATTTCTGATTCAGGCAGGATGAGGATTTCCCTCATCTCCAGATTCACAGCATGCAGGGGCTTGGTGCATATACAGGGACCCCTCCAAAATGTCCCATCAGCAGCTATGGGAGTGCAGTGATGCAGCACTCAGCATGATCCAGCTGTGCACAGCTGGGGAGATGCAGGGTGCCAGCAGCAGGATCTGGCCTGGGAGCAAACCCAGAGCTATCAGGCAGAGTGATGTTGGCCCTGGAAAGCCTCCAAACCACCATCTAATTCCAAAAGAAAAAGCATTCCTGATGCTAATGGAAGAGGTCACCTTCTAACCCAGAAACCAGCCCCAGCAGTGCATGGAGGATGCTGCAGGGTGCACCTCTCCCCAGCCCAGCACTAGAGGCCATTGAAAGCTGCCAATTGGGAAACTGAGGCATCAGCGAGTGCCAAGGCTGCAGGATGTGCCTGGGAGCTGTGCTGCACCTCTAGTCACCCTTTTTCCTTCCCCCTCAAGTCCCACCAGGACTGTGGAAACGCTGGGGTTTGTCCTTCTTCCCAACCTGCTGGCTCTGAAAGCAAGGACACTGCAGTTGTCTGAGGGAGGGGGGCAGCAGCCCCCCTGGCACGTCTCTGCTGCCTGCCTGAAACTGGGCTTGGCCAAAGCCTGGAGCACAGGGCTCAGTGTCTGGTGTCTTGAACCTCTCCAGCTGAGCCAAACAGCTTTGCCACAGTTTGCTGGGTTCAGTGAAGGCTATTCCTGCTCCCACCTTGCAGCTGGGAAAACTGAGGCAGGGGTGGAATTAAAGCTACAGCTTCTCTCCAAGCTGCTGCTCCTCCTTCAGCTGAGCCTGGAGCTGCTGCTGGAGATGTTGCCTCAGTGTCTGCTGTGTGATAACTCCCAGGAGTGCCAGGGCAGACCCAACCTGGGGAGCAGGTCAGGGCACTGGCAGACAGTCAGGTTCAAGAACAGCTTCCCCAGGCTGTTGGCACTGCCCCACCAGCCCTCATTAACATCAGCCAGAAGAAAAACTACCCAAACAAGACCTTGCCATCAAGGATGCAAAAGATGAAACTTTGTCATCAAATCACTGTTTGCAGTTCACGGGTTTAATCTCCTCCACCCTGAACTATCTCCAGCACAAAGGGAAACCTTTTAACATCTGCTGCTGGCAAAATCATTCCTCCAAGCCCACATCACAGACAGAGACACCATCCTCACTTCTCACAGGTCCCTGCCTGGTTTTGAATGTTATTTATAGCTCTGCTATTTGCCTGCTCTTTCCATCAAATGCAGCCACAACAGAGCACAGGGGCAAAGACATTTCATGGGATAAAAAATGCAAAGTCTGGACTGGGAGAAGATTCCAGCCTGGTCGCTCTCTTATTCAACATCTGGAGCAATACTGGTGTGGTGTCAACAGGCACCAGCTCAGGCCACCAGAGAAATGGCAGTGTCACCATGAAGACAGTGTAATGTGTGGCCTTAGTCCACTTGAGGACCCAGTGGATGTGGTAAGGTAAGGAGGACACACACTGTAGCTCTGGAGACATAACCCAGACTTTCCAAAGGATCCCTTTCTTCATCAGTCAGGGGCATCTTCTCTGCCAAGGGCTGTACAGGAATTAGCCAGGAGCCTGTGATTGCCTCCTGGCAGGATCCATGTCAGGGATCCATCACCTCTTCTCAACCATGCTTGGCCACACCAAAACCAGCTGTTTACCCCAGCCAGCACAGTCTGTATTTACCCTGCAGAGCTGTGACAAATACTTTGGGTATTCACGTGGCCACCACATGTCCTTCCGTCACCACAACCACCAGGGACTTCCCTGTGTGTGCTGAGGTTCCTGCTCCCACCATGGGTGAGCAGCTCTTTCCCAGTGCTCCCACCCAGCACCCAGGCCAAGCATCCCCTTACCTTGCCATCTTTCTCATGTGCCTCTTCTCCTTCCATTCATCCTCTTCCTCAAAACAGGCCTTTCCCCCTGTTGTGCCTCATCCCAGGCAGGTGTCTGTCGTGCCTCTGCAAGAGGAGGAGGAGGGACAGTCAAGGAGGAGGGACAGTCCTGGGCTGCTCACAGCACAGTGGCTTTGGAGGGCTCAGAGACATCTGCTCCTGATGTGCACCATGTTTGCATGGAAGCTCCCAAGGCACCTATGTCCCCCCTGGCATCTCACCCTGCCCCAAACCAAACAGACCAAGCTCTCACTGCAGCTGAGAGCTGCTGGTCCCTGGGATGGAGAAGGCCCATTGCACACAGGGGCATGTGGCCAGTGACAGGTATGTTTGCACATAGTCATTCAGCCACAGCTCTTGATGGGGAAGAAGAAAGAGCTCCATGATAGCAGGGACACGGCAGCCTCAGGGGAAAAACAAGGAGCAAACCCACCCACATCAGTGTCCACCAACAGCATCTACTCCATGGCAAAGAGATGGGGAGAGAACAGCTACAGGACAAGGAATACTTTGGAAAGGAAAGGTGAAGGGGAGGAGATGGAACCAGCAACAACACCACGACCTTGATCTCCTTCTCCCAAGTACATGTCCCCAGGGATGCCAAGATGGGGACCCTCTCACCCATGGGTGGATAATGAGTCCTGGACCAACTCCTTCCCTAAGCAGCCACAGATTGCTGGGATGCTCACCAGGACCGGTTTGTCCTGAATTTCAGTCTGTTTTGCTGGACATCAAACACAACCACCAAGCACTGTCCCTTTGCCCACCCAGCACAGATCTGTGAGAACGTGACCACTGGGAACTGGAACAGAAAGAGAAAAGAAGCAGCTGCCAAGTGCCTGAGCTGATTTCACAGGTGTTCCTAAGGAAGACCCAGTAAGGCACAAGAAATGCTCTTCCCCGTGGCTCTGCCATGGTTAAGACAAATTCTCCATGTAATTAAATCACCTAATCCGGGCCTGGGTGCAGGTTCAATCCAGCCCCTCTTGCTGGCCCAGTGCTGAGGCTAAGGGAGAAACTTTCCACCAGGTGACAGACAGGTCATGATGGGAAAGGCAGAGAGATGCTGAGCCCACCTCTGCTGCTGGCTGGTGCTCCCAGTGATTAATTGCTCCTGCCAGGTAAATATTTATGCCTTATTTCCAATGTGTCTACCTTCAACTGCCAGGCATTGATTCTTGTCATGCTTTTCCCTGCTCCATGAGTGAGCTTTTGACTACCATGTGTTTTTCTCCTCTGTTAAGAGTACTTAGATGCTTTAATCAAGCCCCCCTCGTTCCTCTTTGCTTTGATTTATGACCAGACTGACCAGGTGGTCATCTCATCTCTCACTACAAGACACTTTCTGCAGCTCCTCAGGCCCTTCCCTTTCATTCCCTCGTCTCCTCTGTCAAGATGGGTTTGGCAGTCAGAAGCCCAGATTTGGTTCTGTGGATTGTGCCCTCACTGAAGAAGCAAATAACTGCTATTTTTTTTTCCAGAGGAAAATTTGCCATTACCCTGAACATTTTCAGTTCTTCAGCAGAGAAATCAGGATGGACACACAGCATCCCCAGCCACAGGAGGAGGGAACAGGTGAGCCCCCATGTTACCTCTCCCAGCATTTGTGAGCATCATCTGCTGCAAACCACGGATAGCCAATTGAACACCCAGATCAGGGACAGGAAAACATGTACAACTCCAATTATTATTCTTGGGTGCAAAAGGATTTCCATTTTCCACTCTGCTCCAGCCAGGATGCCTTTTGCTTGCCCAGTTTGCTGCCCAGATTTGTACAAACTGTTTTAACACTGTGCTGCTCTGGGTCAGCCCCAGGTTCTTGCAGAAATTATTTTTATCTCCTTCTAGGTTAGTGATAAAAGCAGTGAAACACCAAGGGCAGTGCCCAGCAGTGCTAATCTGCTCTGGTAACTGCCTTTGAAATGGATCAGGTTTATTTAATACTGGCTTTCTTGACACTGTGTAATGTCAGCTCTAAATACTGAACTGGACTGACTCTTTTAATACTGAGGAGTGTGGATTTGTACAAGAATATCACCTCACATAACTCAAACCTTTCACAGAAGTGTATTAGAGCCAGAGAGTCACCTCTCACATCGAAGACTGAAACCCTTTCTCCTTGCCAGGAGTTATTTTCCATATAGCCACGTTGGATGGCAGGAATTTATTCCTGGTGCTGAAGCCTTTAATCAATGAAAGCCTGAGCCAGGTTTCTCCCTCTTCTCCCTGAGGTGATGCTATCAAGCCAATCAACCTGTAGCTACCAGGTCATCTTACTCCCTTTAGGGAAGAGCAGCAACGTTATTAAAACACTTTTTAATCTTCTGGAATTTCCCCGGGGCTTGTCCCAGTGCAGACACAGCTCTGCACGGATGGGAGGTGACATTTCAGAAATGTTCAGTCCCAGAATGGCAACCAGAAAAGCAGTTTCCTTTCATATCTATTTGAAAAAAATCCCTCTTTTTTGTTTGTTTGTTTGTGGGGGTTTTTTTTGTTTTGTTTTGGGGTTTTTTGTTTTGTTTTGGGGTTTTTTGTTTTGTTTTCCCTCTTTTTTGGACAGAAACCACTGGAGTCTCAGCCTGGGTGCAATGGCCCCGACCACAGCCTGGGTGCTGCGAGCAGAGGGAGAGGCCACTCCGCTCCAGCCCTGCAATGTGGAACAAATTAGAACTCGGAGAGCAAAGGAAATGAGAACACTCTGGACGCGGCGGTTTTTGACGTGTGCTCCTCAGCTCCAAACCCTGCCCCTCTGCAGAATTCCAGCCCTACAGCCAAAGCTGCTGGGGCAGAGCCCGAAGAGCCCCCACTCCCTTCCAGTCCGGATCAAGTCTCGACTTCAGAGCCCGGTCTTTTCTTGTGTGAGTTTTATCCGTCTAATCTCGGGCCCGAGCAGGGGCTGACAGTGTCAGTGCCCGCCTCGGGGGCGTCCTGAGCCGGATCAGAGCGGGTAAACTCCTTACGGTGTTATTCTTAGCAGCAGCCACCCTGCCCGAGCACCCTGGATCCCACCACCCAGGGACCATTCAAACAGTATCAAGGCAGTCCCAGTCCTGCAAAGATGAACTAACAGCTTGTCCCAAATTCAGCTCTAGCTCCACAAACAGTTTATAATTATTCGGGGCCCCATTCTGAAAGGAAAGGGCCTTTTAACATGTTTTCTTGCTCTTTTTCACCCCCTCTTATTATTTTTAGAGGATCTTTTGAGCCACCAACGTGCATCAGCTCCCCAGTAATGTGCCAGTACAAATGCCAGCCCCTGCCCGGGCAGCTCTATTCACACACACACACGCAAGAAACATTTCACAAAGAATAATTTGCTTTCTGCTGCCTCCTGAGCAGCAGAGTCCCGGCAGGCTGCCTAATTATAAGATCTTAGCAATGCTTTTTTTAAAAACATTTTTTTTTCCTAGTGATAATTAACTGATCCTGGAGAGCTCTGAAAATAAGCACTTCCCAAGCAAGCAGCGAACTCCCCTGAGTTTTCTCTGCTAAAGTCACAACTCAGCAAGAAGCTGCTCCAGCGTTCTGGGGACACGGATGATCCCAGCACCTCCTGGGATGCCACGACAGCCACAAGCAGCGGGACGCGGGTGAAACGGTGTCTGTGGAACAGCAGGGGGGTCCCAAAGGGCGAGCACTGGGATAAGGGGTTGAGGGGCGTGCGGTGAGGAGGAGGATCCCAAGGGACTCGCCATGGGACAAGGGTCCCCAGGTGTCGGGCAATGGGAACACGACCCCAAGGGGACTGCAATGGGACAGGGATCCCCAGGTGCCCGGCCATGGGACAAGGATCCCCAGGTGCTGCATCCCCCCCCCCAGCACAGCCCTCCCTGCCCGCCCGGTGCTGCCCGGGCAGGTTGGGTCGGGTCGGGTCGGGTCTCCAACGGCAACCGGCCCAAGCTCCAGCCCTCCCC